TAGTTTAGGAATTTCTATAATTTAGATGATATACTTAAATGGCGTTAAATTTTTAGATAATTTAATAGTTTTTATGTTTTGCCTTCTTTTTGAAATCAAAAAATATAAAGAAGAAGTAAAAATTTAAATTTACGAAATAACTAGTTATATTTATTCTTAACACTCTTATTATTTAGTGATGTAATTTACAATTTGACAAACTGAAATGTTAAATTTTGTTTTAAATTTTTATATTTCTATATCTCGCTTAGCGTTATTAATATTTTCTTTTCCAAAGAAATTATTTAATTCACATTGTATTCACATACATATTTACCTTTATTTTCTACAAAGCGAAAAGGTAACAAATAATATTAAATTAATTTTTCCATTTATTACAACTTTTTTATCCTTTCGTTTATTTTTATAATTCCCCAAAGAAAAATCAAATTACATATTTCTTTCTCTCTCTTTCTTCGTTTTATCGACTGCCTCTATCAAATCCTGGACTCCAGCTCTTTTTGTTTCTCATGTAATTTTCATCATCATGTTTTTCTTTTTTCTGTTTTTTTCTTCTTTCTACTTTTGTTTCGAGTATTCATTTCACCTTTAAAAAGTCGTTAAAGTATTTGCATATTCTTAAGGGTTTTTGTTTTTTTAACCTTTTGTTGTTGTTGTTGTTGCTATTCTGGTTACTGTTGTTCTTGTTATTGTAGATATTATTTACTTTACCAACACTAACACTTGTAGGAGAAACATACACAAATACTTGTAAATCACAGAGTGGTGAAGAGGAAAAAAACCAACAAAATATTCAAATGTACAATTGTACTTTTTTGCTTTCTGTACTAACGACATTAGTTTCAAAGAATTTAAAGCAATAGTAATTGCCTTTTTTGTTTGTATGTTAGTTTGTGTGTGTGTAAATGTTGTTAGTGCAGTTGTAAAAAATATTTGCATTTTTAAAAGTTTTATTATGAATGTTTTATTTATATTTTGCTTTTGAGTTTTGGTTAGTTTTTAATTTAAAGAAAATATTTTATATAAATTTTATAAAACGCTGAAGAATGTTGATTTCAAATCATGTTTATAATCATTTTTCTTTGACAATTATAGGAGATTTTCCAGGCTTTTTTTAATTTTTTAATTTAGGAAATTTGTTAAACGTTTTTCTAAAATTTATGTTCAAAGCTTTATATATTTTAAATATAAATATTAGGGTGTCCCGTGTAACACTGAAATAGACTAAACTAAATGCCAAACTATTTTTTAAATATTTTCCTGTATAAGCTTAAAGTTCACAATTTTGACACCTTTTTCGATAACTTGTGAACCAAAAATACTTTACAAAAATTTAAGATTATTTTTCCCGTAATCAACTCAAAATTAGGTGAGACCTATTTCGAAACAATCGAAGATATTTTATTTTTCAAAAATTAGGATTTTTTTAGTCAAGATTTTCAATCCTGTTCCTTTAGATACTCTAATAAACATATTTTGTTTCCAGTTTATAGCAACACTCCAGATATTTTATTTTTCAAAAATTAGGATTTTTTTAGTCAAGATTTTCAATCCTGTTCCTTTAGATACTCTAATAAACATATTTTGTTTCCAGTTTATAGCAACACTCCAGATGAAACTTTAAATGTAACTTCAAATGTCTGATAATCTTAAAGTCCAGCTATGTCTTTTTCGCAGTTATATTTATATCAAAAATATTTAAGTAATGTATATTTTTTCTTTATGAAGAAAACACTTTTGTAAAGATATTTACCTTAAAATATTCTCTCATAATAAATTAATATTAAAACAATAAACATTAGCCACAGTAAGAAAATGTACATAGATATATTTGAAATACATACAACTATTCATTTCTATGTCTATTTAGGAAGGAGATATACACGTGGGTTTTTAACATAATATCTATGAGTGTGTTGCTATTTACTTAGATAAATACACTTATAGAAATATATATAAATAAATAATCTTATGTATTTATGTATATAAAATAATAATATTATATGTTTACTGTTGCTTGAAATGATATGCTGTATGAAATATTATATGTTGTATATTAGTGTTATTTATTCAATAAATATTTCAATACTTTTACAAGAAGTAGATAGACTCATTGGTTGGGGACAGGACCTTCAAACTGCAGGGTATTTACAAATTATAATAATAAAACATATATAGTTACATATATAAGTCAAACAAAGGTATCTATCTAACATAAACAAGTAATAATATTTTTGTTTATATATAGAAACATAAATTTACTAATACTTTATGTATATATTCGTAAGAATTAAATGAAATACTATTACTGTAAGTATTTCTATGTTCTATGTTTATTTAAGAAAGTATATTTATGGTTTAATAGAACACATAAGTATTTTTTTTACTTATAAAGTTATTTTTACATGGATTTTATTAAAGAAACCACAAGTTTATTTTTCTGTAAAAATATAGAAATAATTTATAAAAATTATTTTATTAATTATTTTCCAAGAAATTTGGAGCTAAACTACAATGAAAAACTGCAAGAATCAGGCAAAATTTAAGTATTTATTCTATATTTTTAACTATATTTAGTAAATTTTTTTGAAAATAATGAAGAAACTACTAAGAATGGTATAATCGGTCATGACCGACTATATGGTATACATTACACCAGTGAGTAGTATATAAAAACTGTAATTTATTTTAAATAATAAACCATTTAAGTTTTTTATTGCCCTAATTTCGAAATTTGGAAACAATTTGTTGACAAAAAATATGAATTTCTGAAAGAGAGGTTATACGGGCGCAAGGACAAATATGAGTCTATCATTATACATTTTGTTAGAGGAATTTGAGTCTATATTAAAGTTATTTATGCAGAATTTTATCGTGATATTAGTGTTTATAAGTGTATTTTGACTTTCATGTCATTTTCTGAAGGGGACTTTATATAGGGGATAAGGTCAAATGAGCTCGATACATTTTTTTAGAGATTCAAGAAAATTTAACATAATTATGAGCTCAAAATCCCTATTCGGGGGTACGGCTGTATGGGGGCTAGGCAAAATAATGGCCTTTTTCAAAAGAAGAGTATGTGCTAAATTTCATCAAATCATTTTGAAAATTGTGACCTGTATCGTGCGCACAAGGTTTACATGGATACACAGACGGACAGACAGACAGAAAGACGGACAGAGAGACAGACAGAGATGCAGGCAGGGGGACAGACATAGCTAAATCGACTGATAAAGTGATTCTGAGCCGATTAGGGTTTTTAAAAATGGGTGCAGGACCAGGAGGGTATAATGCGTTTTGGTACAAAAGCATAATACCCTCCCCACTATAGTGGTGTAGGGTACAAAAAGTTCCTTAAGCAAGACAAATGGATATTATTGAATGTTTATGTTCTACGTTTATTAAAGTAAGTATATTTATTGCTTAATAGAAATTTTCCTATAAAGTTATTTTTATATGCATTTCATAAAATGGATCAGAAGTTTATTTTTAAGTAAAAACATAAAAATAATTTTTAAAAATTTTGCTTTCCGATAATCTTGGGATAAACCAAAAGTTTATTTTTAAGTAAAAGTATAAGAATAATTTGAAGAATTATGTTTCTATTATATTTTGAACTCTTTATTTTTGGAAAATCAAGCAAAGACAAAATGGATTTTATTAGAATATTTTAGCGTTTTCCTAATTGCATCCAAGTTAGCCAAATATTGTTAAAGATTTCACAGTCTAATCCCGTGTGTGAACATTTTCACCAACCTCTGAAAAAATATTTCTTATTTTTAATATTTGCAATAATATTACAAAAAATTTTATTTATGAACACATTCATTGTTAGTCATATTGACCGACTGATTTGCCTTCAATATTTTATCCCTAATTACACTATTTGTGTTACTGTTTTATTCTTCTTTTAAATAATCCTTTTTCAACATTTTTGAATTCATTTTTTTAAATATATCTCTCCATAAAAGATTTTCCCTTTTTTATTTAAGTTGTGCAGAAGATGTTAAATCGACAGGAAATTACCTAGAAATTACGAAAATGGATAGGAAGAAAACTGTATTTTAAAAGTTGAAAAAACACAATATAAACAAACGAACAAAAGAAAAATGCTGGCAAAAGAGAAAATCATTTGAAATTTTAAAGCGATGACTGAAAAGTTGATTTTTTCATGAAGTAAAAACAGGAAATAACACAATGAAAATATAAGAAAAAAAAAAATAACAAAAAAGCAATTTTTGAAATCTTTGGTTTGTTTGGAATTTAAGTTAGAAAACTTATAGAAAATTTGCTATTTAGTTAAGAGTATATAGTTGATAGTTTTTGAAAAAAGACCAACTGAATAAATAATTATTTTAAGAAAATGTTCAAAGATTTTTTAATTTAAAAGCAAAATATTTATTATGCATTTGTAAATAAAATTAACCATTTGGCGTCTTTTAATTAACATTTTTAGTAGGGGTCAGTAGGTAACACGTACATTTTCCTTTAGCAAAATTTCTAAATAATTTCAATCCTATATAAATTAATGTAAAGTTAAATTGCTTCATTGATCTACTAATGTTTTTGTCTTAACATTTTAGAAATGCCATAAACTAACTTACTACACTCTGCTCTACTAATAAATGAGTTTGTTTTTACGTATAGTTAGATGTATAATTTACAAGAACATCTGTAACTATACATTTATCTTTGTGCAACCTTTTGTTCATGGATATATACGAATTATCTGCTGCCATTTCTGTTTCCCTAAACAATGTTATAAATTTTGAAGTTTACAACATAGTAAAGTAAATTTAGTGCAGATTTTGTAGGTATTACACTTTGATGTTTGTTTTTACATCTAAAAATTATACACACAAATTTTTGCATAAAACATTGTGCATGCCAACATGGATGGATGAACGAATGACTCTTTTGGCTATATGGCTACTACTACTTACCTCTTCCAACCAACTAAAATGTAAAAGTTCAAACATAAATGTTAGAGGGAAACTTACCGGAACGTTTTTCTGCCTCATTAATTGGTATGTTTTCTAAAACAATTGCCTCTGAGCGTCCTTTTTGATTAACACTGTAGACAACAAGATGTAAGGCTGGATTTGGATCTGGGTAATAGTCCATGGGTGTTAAATCTGTGCAAAAGGAAAGCAAAAAAATTTAAAAAAATAAGTTAAAAGGTGACATATCAAGGCATGAAAGAGTTAATGTTTGTTAAGATTAAAAGTTTTAGGTATGCTTAAAAAAAATGATTTTTTATTGGGAGTTTGAATAGGTATATATACCTACATGTCAAAAATAATTAATGTCTTTATATGATTTTCTACTGAAATTTGTTTTCTCAGTTTCTTTTGTATTAATAATTCGATTTTGGATAACATTTTTAGAAAATTTAATATTTACTGAAAATTAATTGAAAATTCAATCATATACCAGTATATAGAGAGAAAATTTTAGATATCTCAATCGAGTGTTTTTATAGTGAAGCTTTTTTGTGAAAAGTTTGTCTGCATTCAAATATGATAATCGAAATTAAGTATAAATTTGAATAACACCACTCATATTTCTTACACCACTGCGTATAAGTATTATTTATGTATTGAATATCAATCATACGTATATTTAAGAACTATTTCGAAATAATGTTTCTCTTAAACAAAAAAATAAACCGAATGAAATTAAGAATTTCGATCAAAATCTGCATGAAATTAATTTGGTACTGTACTTGTACCAAATAACTTAACTAAAAAAATACTTATTTATTTTAGAAATACTTTTATATATTTAATTTTCGTATTTTCTATTTGTTCATTTGCTTACTTGTTTCACAATAAAAACACATACAAGTAAAAACTATAAAGAAGATTATTGGCAGTAGAATAATATGAAAATACTATGGAAGTTTTATAGATTGAAATTTGTGCTGAAACAGCTTAACGCGCTTGTTTAACTAATCGTAACTTTACGCTTCGTTACGTTTTACAAACAAACCGCTAAAAAATACTCATACACCTCTATACATAGATGCATTAGTAGTAAACTTTATACTTAAATTTTACATAAATATACACACACATTTACATCTACGTATGTGTGCATGTATTTAAAAGAGAAAGCATAAGTATGTGTTTAAATTAATATTTGATTTCTAAGAGAGTGCTTCTCTGCATTTCGGGGGTGACTATATAGAACACCTGTTAAGGGAATTTCTGGGGGGATTTAATTGCTTTTAAATTTGGTTTTGTTTACAAATTAATAATTGGACGTGTTGAAGTTTACTTCTTCTGGGTTAAATATCTTCTCTTTATATTACTCAGAGACCATAAATTGACAGTTGCAATGTTTCACAAGATATATATAAATTCTATTATTATTTAAAAAAATATATTTTCTATAAAGGATACATCGTGACCTTCTAAAACTGTTGGGTACTATGTATATATTTGATAATGTGTATATAAGCATACATAATCACGTAGCTAACTAGCATAATGTTTGGAAATAGACAAATATACACAAATTTAAAGTATGTGTTCACGTGTGCATATATACATAAATTTAAGATGAATGAAAAATAAAACATCAATACATTAGTACTACTAATTAGGGTATATAAAATATTTGCTATTGCATTGGTTCGATTGAAATAATGATATTTATATGCCTTCATAATTATCCATATATTACGATTTTTATATCAAATTTTGTATTTACTAAGTATAAACACACAAATTTCTCTAGCTTCAGTCCTTACTTAGTTAGCTAGTTAGTTATATATATATATATACTTATAAGTGTATACGGTGTATATGGTTTTTCAAAAAATATTAAAAAAATCTCATATTAAATTCAAAGTATAGAACTCCCCAAAAAATATACGCACATATGTATGTATGTACGTACATATATTTAAGCAACAAACGCAAACAAACAAATTGGTATTAAAAGCAACTTTAATAATCAAAGTTTGGCTCATTTAACACGCTCCGAATAGTTTTGGCAACTAAAAAGTTTGTTAAATAAACTATTACATACATCTAAATTTTTTTTTTATTTTTGGCAGAAAAAACATTTTGACTCGTAGTTTTTCTTTGTCTTAGGTGATGATCGGTAGTTCTCTGTTTTTTTCAGCAGCCAACATTTGCAGGCGAGTAATAAAATCTTGTAATTACAAATTTTGGTTTTTAAATGCTGAGTGCAAAAAAAAACTAGATAAATATGCAGATTTTTACGTGTTTTTAAGTATTACTAAAACAAATATTCATTAGTTATTTGCGAATTTTTAAGTTTTTGTTTGTCATGGACAAAAAAACTAAAAATAGAGGTATTTTTACCATTTCTGTTGCTATGAATGTAAATTTGTGTTATTCTGTTTTCTTTTGAAATTCAGTTTGTTGACATTACATTTACTTTGCTAATTACACAACTAATTAATGTATGTATATTATTGAACACTACCACCAACTTACAATCAAATCAAAAGGTAATTATCGGTAAATTACAGAAATCACTCATGTGTGATTAATACACACACACTCATTTCAGACTAAAATATTTTCAATTTATTAAAGCCTTTTTAAGATTATACGGGTGTTTATTGAAATGTGTTTCTAAAATAAATTTAATAATTCCAAAGAAATATTGTTAATTAATTACAGATGTAATCATGCAAATAAAGTTTAGTTCAAGTTAGGTTCTAGTTCAGTTCTAGTTCAGTTCTAGTTCAGTTCTAGTTCAGTTCTAGTTCAGTTCTAGTTCAGTTCTAGTTCAGTTCTAGTTCAGTTCTAGTTCAGTTCTAGTTCAGTTCTAGTTCAGTTCTAGTTCAGTTCTAGTTCAGTTCTAGTTCAGTTCTAGTTCAGTTCTAGTTCAGTTCTAGTTCAGTTCTAGTTCAGTTCTAGTTCAGTTCTAGTTCAGTTCTAGTTCAGTTCTAGTTCAGTTCTAGTTCAGTTCTAGTTCAGTTCTAGTTCAGTTCTAGTTCAGTTCTAGTTCAGTTCTAGTTCAGTTCTAGTTCAGTTCTAGTTCAGTTCTAGTTCAGTTCTAGTTCAGTTCTAGTTCAGTTCTAGTTCAGTTCTAGTTCAGTTCTAGTTCAGTTCTAGTTCAGTTCTAGTTCAGTTCTAGTTCAGTTCTAGTTCAGTTCTAGTTCAGTTCTAGTTCAGTTCTAGTTCAGTTCTAGTTCAGTTCTAGTTCAGTTCTAGTTCAGTTCTAGTTCAGTTCTAGTTCAGTTCTAGTTCAGTTCTAGTTCAGTTCTAGTTCAGTTCTAGTTCGTTCTAGTTCAGTTCTAGTTCAGTTCTAGTTCAGTTCTAGTTCAGTTCTAGTTCAGTTCTAGTTCAGTTCTAGTTCAGTTCTAGTTCAGTTCTAGTTCAGTTCTAGTTCAGTTCTAGTTCAGTTCTAGTTCAGTTCTAGTTCAGTTCTAGTTCAGTTCTAGTTCAGTTCTAGTTCAGTTCTAGTTCAGTTCTAGTTCAGTTCTAGTTCAGTTCTAGTTCAGTTCTAGTTCAGTTCTAGTTCAGTTCTAGTTCAGTTCTAGTTCAGTTCTAGTTCAGTTCTAGTTCAGTTCTAGTTCAGTCTAGTTCAGTTCTAGTTCAGTTCTAGTTCAGTTCTAGTTCAGTTCTAGTCAGTTCTAGTTCAGTCTAGTTCAGTTCTAGTTCAGTTCTAGTCAGTTCTAGTTCAGTTCTAGTTCAGTTCTAGTTCAGTTCTAGTTCAGTTCTAGTTCAGTTCTAGTTCAGTTCTAGTTCCGTTTCTAGGTTCATTAGTTCAGTTCTAGTTCAGTTCTAGTTCAGTTCTAGTTCAGTTCTAGTTCAGTTCTAGTTCAGTTCTAGTTCAGTTCTAGTTCAGTTCTAGTTCAGTTCTAGTTCAGTTCTAGTTCAGTTCTAGTTCAGTTCTAGTTCAGTTCTAGTTCAGTTCTAGTTCAGTTCTAGTTCAGTTCTAGTTCAGTTCTAGTTCAGTTCTAGTTCAGTTCTAGTTCAGTTCTAGTTCAGTTCTAGTTCAGTTCTAGTTCAGTTCTAGTTCAGTTCTAGTTCAGTTCTAGTTCAGTTCTAGTTCAGTTCTAGTTCAGTTCTAGTTCAGTTCTAGTTCAGTTCTAGTTCAGTTCTAGTTCAGTTCTAGTTCAGTTCTAGTTCAGTTCTAGTTCAGTTCTAGTTCAGTTTCTAGTTCAGTTCTAGTTCAGTTCTAGTTCAGTTCTAGTTCAGTTCTAGTTCAGTTCTAGTTCAGTTCTAGTTCAGTTCTAGTTCAGTTCTAGTTCAGTTCTAGTTCAGTTCTAGTTCAGTTCTAGTTCAGTTCTAGTTCAGTTCTAGTTCAGTTCTAGTTCAGTTCTAGTTCAGTTCTAGTTCAGTTCTAGTTCAGTTCTAGTTCAGTTCTAGTTCAGTTCTAGTTCAGTTCTAGTTCAGTTCTAGTTCAGTTCTAGTTCAGTTCTAGTTCAGTTCTAGTTCAGTTCTAGTTCAGTTCTAGTTCAGTTCTAGTTCAGTTCTAGTTCAGTTCTAGTTCAGTTCTAGTTCAGTTCTAGTTCAGTTCTAGTTCAGTTCTAGTTCAGTTCTAGTTCAGTTCTAGTTCAGTTCTAGTTCAGTTCTAGTTCAGTTCTAGTTCAGTTCTAGTTCAGTTCTAGTTCAGTTCTAGTTCAGTTCTAGTTCAGTTCTAGTTCAGTTCTAGTTCAGTTCTAGTTCAGTTCTAGTTCAGTTCTAGTTCAGTTCTAGTTCATTTCTAGTTCAGTTTTAGTTCAGTTCTAGTTCTAGTTCAGTTCTAGTTCTAGTTCAGTTCTAGTTCAGTTCTAGTTCAGTTCTAGTTCAGTTCTAGTTCAGTTCTAGTTCAGTTCTAGTTCAGTTCTAGTTCAGTTCTAGTTCAGTTCTAGTTCAGTTCTAGTTCAGTTCTAGTTCAGTTCTAGTTCAGTTCTAGTTCAGTTCTAGTTCAGTTCTAGTTCAGTTCTAGTTCAGTTCTAGTTCAGTTCTAGTTCAGTTCTAGTTCAGTTCTAGTTCAGTTCTAGTTCAGTTCTAGTTCAGTTCAGTTCAACTTATAATGATTTTTTATTTCAATTAAATACAGATTACTGTACTTGTTCTATAAAATAAAAGTATTATACATTTATTTTCATGCATACAAATGTTATCTACTTACCACTTAAATCCACACGAAATATTGGCACATCTGCATACGTGCTGGATGTATTTAAGCGTAATTTCTTTGTTTTCGAGTCGTATGCTTCCAGATAGAATTGCTGCTGTAGACCACCATCATAACCTGGCATACATTCCAATTCCATTGTCGAATAAATAATATTATCATAATTATCAAAATTAATAGTGCCACCGCCGCCTCCACCAGTTCCACCTAAAATGCTGGCAATACCACCACCATTACTACTACCAGATACTCCACCATTATTATAACCATTATTGCCCAAGTCTGAAGAACCATACGGACTAATAAGACTGTGGGTGGCAATGCCATTATGAAAATTATATTCCATACGTGAATAATCAAAATGCGGTTCATTATTAACATCCTCATCGTCATCATCTCCGTTGTCGTCATTGCTATTTTCATCGTTATCAACATGATTATTGCCTTGAGTATTATCATCGATATGGTTTCTGCTGATTTCATTATTGTGGCGAACTTCATCGACATTTCCTGGCTTATTATTGGAGTGTTGTGGTATCTTGCTGTATTGCTTTCGTTGTTGTGTTAGTGTTGCTGTTGCATATTGTTCAGTTGTATTGTAAGTCATTTGTGTTTGTAAAGCATTGTCTATTGTTGAAATAACTTCATCCAAGACTTTTGAATCATTTAATGAATAATCATCAACCATTTCGGCTAATAAGTCAGCATCATCCTCATCTTCTTCCTCTTCCACCTCATCTAACTCTTCTTCTTCCAAATTTGTTGTACTTCCATTATCTTCATCATCGTCATCTTCGTCTTCTTCTAAGGCTTGTAATTCATCAGTGTAGTTATTTTTGTTCGCATGATTGTATATTGAGTTGTTATTTTCGAACATTTCTAAATTTTCCAATTGTTCTTCATCGTCATCGTCATCATTATCATTCTCATTATCATCATCTCCTGCCTCAACGTCCTCATCTCCAATTTGATATGATGATGCTGCTGCCGCAGATATAGCTGCGTTGTGGGCTGTTAATGAGCCTGATGATGTCTCTTTACTAGAGTCTTCATAAGATAAGGATTTTAGAGGTTGTAAAGAAGTTTCCGCCTGTTTTAGTAGTTGTTGCTTTTGGTCTACTTGCTGTTGTGAAGGTTTATTGGTGATTTCTGGTTTATTTGGGGGTAGTATCATTGATTGTCTATTTATAATATTACTAGGGTTCGATTTTGTTGATTCATTAAACTGTAAATGCAAATTGTTGTAGTTGCTGGAAGTATTGTTGTCATGCAGTGTATTGTTGCTACTTATTTTGATAAAATAACGTTCTTTTTGTGTTAGAGATTTCCGTATACGTTTTTTGTCATTCTGCAGTTTGTTTTTCGTAACCGAGCGATTGATTTCTTTTTGATAAGTGTGATACTGATGATAATGAAGATCACATTTAATGCATGTCTTATTATTTGTTACACTAGTTTGTGCGACATAATTTTCATTAGCGTTGTCCTCTAAATGTCGTTGTAGGCTTGAACCATCTTCAGATTCCTGTTGCTGAGGTATTAATGGAAGTTTTTGATTTTTTTCTAAAGTTCTTGTGGAAACATCTCGTTTTGTCACACGTTTCTGTTGCTGGTTTTTTGCTGAGCTCATTTTTTGCTGTTTTGTTTTATTGGCATCTTCTATTGCTATTGCTTTCGTTGTTTGTGTTACTTTTAATATTTCTTGGTGCTGTTCATGTTTTTGCTGTTGTGACTGCTGTAGCTGATGATGATGAATTACTCTCATTGTATTTTTATCACGTTTGTGCGTGTTTTTGTTATGTTGTTTATTGTGATACCTATCGCTGTCGTTTTTGTTGTTGCTGGTTGATGATACCTTTTTTGTGGTGGCTGATATTGCATTAACAACGCCAGTTAGTTTTTTGTTTGTCTTCTCTAAACGCAATGATAAATTAGATTTTTTCTTTTTACTCTTTGAAAGTTTTTGGGTTTGTTCTTGCTGCTGCGGATAATGTTTTTGCCTCATTTTCATTTCCTGGTTCTGCTGTGACTGTGACTGGCGGTATTGGTGATCTTTCTTCTTTGTTGTTATTGAACTTCTTGCAGCGTCATCATCCTCATTGTCATTATCATTCTTAGATACTGGTGTGGTTGCAGCTGCTGTTTTGCTATTGATGTGGTTTTTATCTTTGGCACCACGTTTTGTACGTAATTTTTTCTTTGTTGTCATTGCTGATACCGTTGCTGTTGCTGACGTTCCTCCTTTCGTTGCTGTTACTACTGTATTTATGTCCATTTTTAAGTTGCTTGTTGTTGGCACTGACAATCCATCACTTTGATTATTGATAAATGCTTTTGATACGGTTGCCTGTGGCCCCATCATTTTTATACTATTATTATTGCTGTTGTTATTTCTATTATTGTTGCTTTTACTATGATTGTTGCCATCACCATCATCATCTGCAACTGAAGTTTCGTCTTGCTCGTGGTTGTTAGCATTTTTAGTTTTCTGTTGTTTTTGTTGCTGTAGCTGTTGTTGTTTTTTCTTATCCATCTGCTGGCGTTTAATGATGGCCAATGTTTGGGAGGGTGTAAAAGAAGTACGTTTTTTTAGTCTTTGCAGTTGTTGGGGATTTAAGGGAATGCGATATTTTTGCACAATCATTTGTTGCTTATAATTTTGTTGTTGTTGTTGTTTCTGCTGTTTTTGTATATTATGCTGTTGATTAATATTGTTGTTAGTTCGTTTATTATTACTAGCAACACCAGGACCAGAACTGGCACCACTGCCACTACCACTACCATTATTATTATTATTAGATTTTTTGTTTGTCCCTTTAATACCATCATTGTAAATTTTGTTATGATTTTTGTTGTTACTACTATTACTATTATTGTTGTTGTTCATATGTTTACTATTGTTACTACCGTTTCGATTTGGTTGTTGTTGTTGTTGCTGTTTCTCTTCATTATTCCTCTCACGTACATATTCCATATGCGGGAAATTTGTTTCGTGCCTTCCATATTGTGTTGGCATCATCATTTGATTGGCATGCATTGTTGTTTGATTCGATGAATTTAACGATGCTGAGGTCACTACATATGGCCTCAATGTACAGTTACGCAAAGCTCCAGGTTTTGCTACATTTATTCAAAGCATTCATAGCATTCCATACCAGCGTTTAAATGTTTTTGTATGTATATTTAGGGATAGATAAAGAGATGTGAAAAAAGGTATAAACATTATCATTATTTATAATTTGGATTTTATATTTATTTAATTTCATCAATACCAATTTGTAATGTGTGTATTTTTGTATGATTTTGGTTTCCTTGTGAATGTATTTTGATTGTTATTAACTCAATTTGTTTGAAAATCTGTAGATATTATTTTGATTTTTTTGTTGTGGGAATAGGAATTTATTTATTTGGAATTAAATATTTTGTATCAATTTGTATATTTAATGAGATTGTAAGTAAATAGTTGATCTCGATGAGGAAATTTAAGCATAATTTTTTTAAAATTAGAAAATAGAAATAATAATAGTTTACTGAATTGGTTTGGACAACAATTTATACTTTATCCAGCCGGAGGAAATTTGTAAAATCAAAGACTGATTTAGATACCATGTAGTGTTGTACTGGTATTTTACTGTACACCATACAAATGTAGGACATTCCCCTAACTATTTAAAAATTTAAACTAAAACTAAATAATTTTCAATTATTTAGACAGCGATTATGAAGTGGATACAAAACATAAGGAAAAATAACATAAAAATATAATATTGCTATTTGCCATTAGTACTTTAAAAATCTATATTAAATTAAATAATAACAATTCATAATTAAAATCATTGCCAATTTTAAATTAACTTAATGAAACCATAAATTTAAAAAAAAACATGTAAATAATGTGGCTGGGAAAACATGTTAAGATTTTTAAAATTATTAACAAAGATTCTTATGCATTTTTGACATAAGAAAATGTTTACCATATATTTCTTTTCAATTTATAAGTTTGTGTGTATTTTTTCATATTCTTTTTTATTTTTGTAAAACTTACCAGCTGGTACAACTTGAAATAAACATGGTTCTGATTGTTTGCCAATTGAATTTCTACCCCAACAAGCCAATGTACCATAATCTCGTTCGCCTTTTGGTGTATAAATCAATTCACTAACAGTCTCTACTATAACGAAGTACAAAAAAAAAAAGAAGGAACAAATAAAATAGAAAATAAAAATATTATAAAAGTTTTTTTTACAAGTCTTTAAGATTGAGAGAAAATAATATTAAAAATTAACATTAATTTACCATAAGTTTCAAAATGAGTGTCATTGGACTCAACAATGGTACGATGTATATCACCGGTTGTAGTAGCCTCTTGTATTGTGGCATAATGACCAGAAGGTACTTCAAAATGTTCACCACTACTAGAAAAAGTCCATTCAAAGTCAATTTCTGGTGGATCTGAATTAACGCGACAGGGTATGGGCACAGCCTCTTCTAGTGAAGCACCAATGACAATTACAGCATTCGTGCTACAAACAGGAGCATCTAAAAGAAAGACAAAAAGGATTTTTTTTATTATTTGAAATTCGTTAAGTGTTTGAAGGTTATTAAAGCTATTGTTAAACAAAATTAAATTGTAATAGTTTTATAAACATCTATTTTTTCGTATTTTTTTATATATCCGGTTTTAAGAAACATTATTTCCTTTAGAGGAACAGAAAAAAATGTTATATGTAAAAATGAAATACAATAAAGAAACGGAATTTATTCATTTTATTTCTAAACAATTGAGCTTGAAAAAAATAAGTTTTTCTTTTTATTTTTGCCTTATTTTTATTATTACAATCATTTTACACACATACATGAATGTATGAATGAATTTCCGTTAAAAAGAAGCTTAAACACATATACAAATACAAACGTTTTATAAAATACTTTGGAAGGATCATATGTTCAAAATATGTATCCCAACAATAATAATAATAAAATAAAATAACAATGCAAATACTTTTTCCTCTATGGATGCTCCCTTTCTCACTCTCTTCGTCAACTTATTATATGAATAATAAAAAAATAAATAAAAAATATATATATATATATTCACAAGTGCTTCCGGTAGTATAGAGTATTCATCTTTTTTTCTCACACTTTATCATTTTACCATGAAAAAAAAATAAGAATTGCCAGGAAAAAACATATTGTTTTGAAATTTATTAAAAAATATTTGAAAAGTTTTTAAGTTTCTATTGAATGAATACCAGTAAGATATACATATGTATATACACACACACACACTCAAATATACAGTTATGCACACATATGAACATCAAATTGTATATTTGTGTATTTACGAAAATATCATACAATTTGAGCAAATATTACTTTTGTGTGCAAATTCGCATTTTATGAATACAGTGAAGTGAATAAATGATAGGAGGAAATTAATTGAAGAACTTTGAGCATATACTACTCTATATAGATTCTTGTCGAAAGAAAATCCAAAAGAATTATGGTGGAACTAATTCAACCCAAGTCAATGCCATGATTGTCACTTCGTTGGCCAAAAACGAGCCGTTAATTCTAAATTTCGTAACGGCATGATAAGAAATGAATAGTTTTAATATAACAATTGCCCCATAATTAGAGATATTATTGGTTATAGTATTCCGGTTTTTCGGAGGTTACATTTTGTTTCTAAATCAAGGATAGTAAGTAAAAGTTTTACTAATCTTAAAATTCCTTTAAAAATTGTTTTTTCCAACATTATTGTAATATTTACTGTTAACTTTTTACATTTCTTGGGGTTTTCTTCATGCGTTCAACTTGAAGATTTGTTATGAATATATTTCAACACCCAACTAAATCATAAGGAAACTTTACGCTTGAAGTATTGTCAGCAGATAACAGCAACGAAAATAACTACAACATACAAATCATGAATTAATTTGTTTGGATGAGAATGGGTGTATGCAAGCATATGATGTGCTGTTGTCATCACCGACAGCAGTTAGAATAATGTGTTGACAATAAAAGTAGCAAACATCATATAAGGTAGCAACAACATATAATAGAAAGAAAACATAATAGAACAAAAATTATTTGGCAACAAATGTTAACTTTTAATTTCTGATAAAGATGTTTTTTAAAGTTAAAACTTTAAAGAGCAACTGTAAATTTAAAGAAAATAAATTCTGTTTGATTAAGTTATTTGTTTGCGTAAAAATCTTTTACTCATTTTCAAAAGTATTTTTCTTTTAAACATCTAATTATAATATAGTATATTTATATCTTTAATAATAATAAAATATTCATATTACATTTATAATGATTATTTTATAATAAATAATGATGGCTGACATTTCCTTCCTGTCTGTTGTCCATAACTATAATGCAATAATAATAAAAATAATAATAATGAATGTCATAATTGTTATATTTATGAAAACATACTTATTTATATGTATGTATGTGAATAATAAGGTTGTAATATTTATATTTTTAAAAATATACATATATCACAATCTTCAGATTAATAAGAGAAAAAATTAAAATTGTTTTTCTTGAACTTCTGTCAAGTCATTGAAAATGAGTGATAGCGCTACTCGAGTTAGCCCAACCTTTCTGCAAGTGACCATCCGGAATATGCTAAAATTATCATAAATATGTTCATTATGTAGAACATGTAATGCATAATTGACAATAGTTAACATGAGTGAGGTTTTGTAAATTACTTTAATGCTCATGACTGACAATGCCATTGAGAACGTGTACACAGAGGGAAAAAGAAATATACATCCCTGGTACCAAATTGATACCAAAGAGTTTATAATTTTTCAATAACATCCGTTGTCAAAGTGCGACAACACTATGTAATGTTAACAACGCAACGTTGTCAACATTGCAACAATTCGTTGTCGAAATCTAAATTTTATACACATCCTTTGTCTAAATGTTAACAAACGTAAGCTCACTATGGGCAACGGATTGTTTGTCAATAGTAAGCTTACCACGTTTGTTAACATTTATACAACGGATGTGTATAAAATGAAGATTTCGACAACGAATTGTTGCAATGTTGTCAACATTACATAGTGTTGTCGTACGTATGTGTATACTTTGACAACGGATGTTATTACAAAATTATAAACAGTTTGGTGTCAATTTGGTACCAGGCATGTATATTTCTTTTTCCCTCTGTGTATGTATTTAAATTAGTTATGAAATATTTTTACATACAAATTACAAACTCGTTATTAGTATTGGTTATACCTCTAATATCTACACAAGTGAGAGAAGGAGTATTTAATAAATGCCAGTATTTTTGTATTTTCAAATACATATATATATGTATATTTACTCTAAACTTATTTATGGATAAGTATGAATGTGTATTGAT